CTCTCTTGCTTCCATTCCTTTCCATATTCTGTAGTGTTAAAGCAGCACTAACAATACTCCTAGTCAGTCCCTTTTGCTCCATGTTGCTGATTTAGCAAACTGAGACTTGGCTGAAACACAGCCTTCTTTGTGAAACTTCCTGTGTTTCTCAGCCCTAGGGCGGTTTCATACAGTGGTTGTGAAATTTGGAGTCAAAAGTCTTGGGTTCAAATATCACTCAGTCAATCTGGTGTCTAAGACAAGACCTACGATGTGCCTGGAACATCCTAGGTGCTCAGTAATTTTTAGTTCTATTCTTAGGGGCCCTTTCTATGTTTCTGTTGCACTTAATACATTTATCCAAAGATAGTCATTGCTTTTAATGTAGTTTACATAACTATTCATGAGTGATAAGCTCCTAGAGTAGTTTCTTTAGCACACAGAATAATCATCTGGAGATACTGTTAAAATATGGGTTTCTAGGCCCACCCCTAGAGATTCTCATGCACTATGTCTAGGGCTAGACCCATGAATCTGCAATTTTGCCAAGCTTCCAGCTGATTATCATACTGCTGGTTCAAAGCCCACACTTTGAGTGGCACTGTCCTAATGGATATGAACCAAGTCTTTTCCCCTTTGTTACTATCATAATAGGTGCTCAAAAAGTATCTGCTGAAGGGCTGATGAGGGGAAGAATAAAAGCTAGTTGACAAAAATCTGTAAATAAACAGATGGGTTAGCTCAAAATGTTGATTTCTGTGATTAATTGACTTCATATCAAATGTTTGAATGAAAAATTATATTTTGTAGAGTATAAACTTTTTAAAAATACACGTATATAAATAAAGTTAGTAATAGTTTTTCTAAAAGATTTTATTTATTTATTTGAGAGAGAGAGAGAATGAGAGAGAGTATGAAAGGGGGGAGGATCAGAGAGAGAAGCAGACTCCCCGCTGAGCAGGGAGCCCGAAGCAAGACTCCAGAATCATGACCTGAGCTGAAGGTAGCTGCTTAACCAACTGAGCCACCCAGGCACCCAATAATAGCTTTTGTTAGTGACCCATACTTTGCTTCTGAAGAGTCTAAGACCTTGTGCAGAAAATGCTACACTTTCTCTTTTGATCTTTTGGCAAAGTATAGACTTAGGAATAGGCAAGGGGGCAGGTGAGAAGAATGTAGGAGGCTATAAGAAGGATGGAGGGGAAGCAGGAAATTGAAGATGGCAAATTCTAATGAAGGACAGATTATATTCTTGAATACATAGAAATGTTATTCTTGAATGTATAGTTTGATATACACTGATTTGCACTTTTCTCTTGATCCTACAATGTAGGAAGTGATACAAACTGTATGGTGATAAATAAATCCCATGGAACAAGACGACTGACTGCATCCAGGCCTCTTTGTATTCACGTCACTCCTCCAAGCACATTCTTGACTTCAGTTACAATTACATTTCACTTTATAACTTGCAAAATACTCTTCCCTGTGTCACATCAGGATGCCTTTAGCTGGCAGTAACAATATCCAAAATATGAAATGTTTTGGCTCACATACCTCAAATCCAGAAGGATTTTACAGTTGTCTGAATCTGGTCACCCAGACCCTACTTCCCAACATTCTTTTGGCTCTGCCAACTTGCCAACCTCCGTATGTTCACTTTATCCTCAGCCTGGTAATAAGTTCTAGATCTCATACCATACACAAGGACATCCAGAAGAAGAGATGGTCTCAGAAACCATCAGCAAATCTTGTCTTATGTTTCTTTTGATGGTCAGTCCTACGCCAGTCTTTATCAGAGAAGGTAGGGTTGTCCTTAGATAAAACCAACCTGCTCCTGGACCTCCCCTGGACTCAGCTAGCTGGAAGCATGTGGGTGTGTGAGGAAGGGGTGGATTCTGAAATCTAATCGAGGTCCCATCAGGATGGAAAGAGTGGAGAAAGGATGTTGGGTAGACAGGCCAAAACATTCATTATATATCGTATCCCAGTCTCTATTCAACAATCACAGGGGTAGTTGGGGGCAGATTTCATTGTATAGATGAGAACGCAAGGCTCAGATGGTCTTAAACCTTCTTTGTTCACGTCTTCCTCTGGGCCTGAATAATTTTTTTGTGGTTTCCCTAGGTCAAAAGAAATATCTAACCATTCAATTTATAAACAATTAGGTTCCAACAACTTCAGTATTTATGCCCTAACAGCTAATTTGCTGTTTGTAAAAATAAATAATACACATAAATTGAGAGAAAGCATTTTTATTTTTATTTCATTTTTAACACACTTATGGCTCATATATGTGTTGGACATTGTACAGCTTCTCATGCCTCAAAATCAGACTGGACACTACTACGCCCATTTTCTGTTCCACATTTGTCTTCATATACTGTTGGCTTCTTTGAAAGGATTAGAGTGCAATCTTATGTTGAAAGTGTGAACTATTTCACTGATAGTTCAAGGGGTGTCTGACAGATGTTGAGTTTCACTCTGTTTACTATCTTCAAAATTTTAAATATCCTGAGGCACCCCTTTGAGTTCAGTGTGGTGTCCTGGGGTATCTTGGCACACAGTTTGGGAACTGCCAGTTTAAGTGATTTGCCCAAGAAGATACTGCTAAGAAGAGGCAGAACCAGAATTTAAATTTTAATATTCTGACTCTGAGTCTTGTTCTTGAACCATTTTAGGGTCCTCCCCTTAAGATTGTGTTCCTCTTCCCCCAGAGACTTTTCACTGGAACTCATGGTCCAGCAAAGAAAATATGACCCACTCAGAGTCTTAAAACAGAGGAAATTTATTATTACACCATAAACAAAAATAAACAAAATGGATTAAAGACCTACGTGTGAAAGCTATAACCATAAAATTCCTAGGAGAAAACATAGGTAGTAATTTCTTTGGCATCGGCTGTAGAAACGTTTTTCTAGATATGTATCCTCTGGCAAGGAAAACAAAAGCAAAATTAAACTATTGGAACTACAACAAAATAAAAAGCTTTTCAACAACAAAGGAAACCACCAACAAAACAAAAGGACAACCAATTGAATGGAAGAAGATATTTGCAAATGACATATCTGATAAGGAGTTAATACCCAAAATAAGTAAAGAATTTATACAATTCAACATCAAAATAATAATAATAATAATAATTCAATTAAAAATGGACAGAGGACCTGAATAGACATTTTTCCAAAGAAGACATACAGATGGCCAACAGACACATGAAAAATCCTTAACATCACTAATCATCAGGGAAATACAAATCAAAACCACAATGAGATAATCACCTTATGGCTGTCAGAATGACTAAAATCAAAAACAGAAGGAAAAACAAGTATTGACAAGTATGTGGAGAAAAAGGAATCCTCCTGCACTTTTGCTGGGAATGCAAGCTGATGTAGCCACTGGGGAAAACAGTGTGGAGGTTCCTCAAAAAATGAAAAATAAAATTACCTTATGATCCAGTTAATTCCACTACTGGGTATTTGCCCAAAGAAAACAAAAACACTAATTTGAAATGATACAGGCATCCCTATGATTCTTGTAGCAACATTTATGATAGCCAAGATAAGGAAGCAATCCAACTGTCCACTGATAAGGAATGGATAAGAAGATGTGGTATATATATACAATGGACTATTACTCATAAAAAAAAGATGAACTCTTACCATATGTGACCACATGGATGGACCTAAAGGGTATAAGATTAAGTGAAAAAATCAGAGAAAGACAAATGCCGATTTCACTCATATATGCAATTTAAGAAACAAAGCAAAGAAAAAAGAAGACCAAAAAACAGACCCTTAAATACAGAGAACAACTTGGTGGTTGCCAGAAGGAGGCAGGTGGGGGATGGGTGAAATATCAATCAATCAGTCAGTCAGATGTAATATAGAGAATTACACTGATGATGAAAGAGCTGAGAAGCCAGTGACAGACAGGCAATCCAGATGTGAACCACAACAGGGAAGATAGGGCCACTCCTATGTCTGCAGGGGTTGATGAGAAAGGTAGTGTGACCAGGACTAAGGAGGTAAGGTTGCCTTTGGGAAGCTGGACCCACTGTGGAGATGCACCCACTGCCATGGAGAATTCAGGCAGAAGAAAGAGAAGGAGGAAAATAACATGATTTCCCTCCTGCTCCAGTCTTCCCACCAATGCCTTCCATTGGCCCAATCTACCTAGAAGCCAGAGAGCAAGGGAGCCTGGGAAATGTGGTTTCTAATGATATAGAGAATGTGAGGAGGAGCTCAGAATGGACCTGAGCAAACAGGCAGTTGACTGATACTACAAAATGTAGTGTATACACTTTGTTCACTCAATATTTGCTTTAGCAAATACTTACTGAGGACCTAGTAGGTATCAGAGATCATGCAAGATGCTGGGGATACCATAATGACCAAAATAAACCTGATCACTGCTCTTAAAGGGATCATAGACTAACACAGGAGAAATAGAATAAACACAGAACTAATTATAAAGTGTGTTAAGTGCAATGAAGGGAAATGTCACAGTGCTGTAAGACAGCTAGAGACTGGAGAAAGGACACGAGCTCCCACAGTTTTAAGTCTAATTAACCTTGAGATGCATGTGTAGAAACTTGTGTTCAGGGAAACAGAATATTTGTATCTAGAAAAAGTTTAGAAGGAGATAGTGATGCATTCCTATTTTGACTTGACACCTGCATCATGCAGCTCCATCATCTCAAAGCTATGTATGTGATTGTATGTAATAGAAGATATGTATATGTGTGTATGTGACAGAGACAGAGAGGGAGAAAGAGAACAGCACAAAGAAAGATTACTTTAGACAAGCATTCTAAGGAGCCAGCCGGCTCACAGCAGCTAATCTCCTTCACGCTTGCCTGACCCCACCCCCTTCCCTCTCATCATAACTTGTGATCTTAGAGGCATGAAAGAATTTGAGCCCCTCCCCCAGCTCGACCATCTCTGTCGGCCGCTCGGCCGGGCTCCATGTCAAACCCAGCCTGGGCCAGAAACCAGAGGGCCACATAGAAGGTGCTGGGCTTGCAGGCAGGTTCCTCACCCTGTGGCCATGGGTGGCAACATGGGACAGCTTGGCATTCAGACCTGTGAGTCCCTGGCCAAGGATAAACCCTTTGACCCCGTGGAGCCACCCAAGAGACCCACAAGCAACCTCATCATGCATAGCATGGCCATGCTGGGCCGGGAGTTCTGCTACGCGGTGGAGGCAGCCTATGTGACCCCAGTCCTGCTCAGCGTGGGGCTGCCCAAGAGTTTGTACAGTATGGTGTGGCTGCTCAGCCCCGTCCTAGGCTTCCTGCTGCAGCCCGTGGTGGGATTAGCCAGCGACCACTGCCAGGCCAGCTGGGGCCGTCGGAGACCTTACATCCTCACCCTGGGCATCATGATGCTCTTGGGCATGGCTCTGTACCTCAACGGGGACGCCGTGATGACAGGTCAGTGCACCGCACCGGTGGGCAGGCAGGGGCAAGGGGCCCATTATGCAACTCAAGGGGAGGAGAAGTCCGATTTCTTTATGGGACGCTTCCTTAGAAATTGATTAGAACGGATTCTCTCCTAGGTTACAAGGAACTTCCACCTTGGAATGGCCCAAATTCCGTGGCTTGGGAGATCTTACTTTTAGAGACATCAGGATGCATTGCTGTTGTTTAATTGTTGCGAGGATTTAAAAATAGGAATCATTTTTTATCTCTTCTCAAATGAAATATTTTTACATGTTTCTTTGAGGTTGTGCTTTAGTTAGTATTTTGTGAAATTAATCATCTGCCAAATGACTCCATGAATACTTATAATAAATTACCTATATGTCTAAGTAAGAGCTAATTCTGTTCATAGCTTTATGGAGAGTCTTTCAATGGGGCAGAGCATCAGCTCGTCAGCTCTAGAAGATATTTTTGCACTGCAAATTCTGGACAAAAACAAACCTGATGGTGAACACTTTTTCTTGACATTAATCAGCCACAAATTAATCAGTAACTGGGGATAGTACATAAAAAGTTGCATGAAAAAAAAATTGTTGAACTTAAAAATAGCACACATTTCAAGACCATTAAGGCTCAGGCTTGCAGAATGGATTTGATAATGAGGCGGATAATCAGCTATCATTTGTACATATTTAAAAGAGGGCATCAGCATACGAATGTAGGTTGTTTCTGCAAAATATTCACAAAAACCCCTGATAAGAATAGTTGCTTCTAGGGGGGACTGCTGAAGGATTTCGGAAGTAAAAAGTGGAGTATAGGCTTATTTTTTACTTATCGTTATACTGTAATCTTAAAAAATGTGCATATATTACACATTATTCCTAAGTGACACTGAAGGCAATAGGAGATGGGGTGAGAGAGTTCTGGCATGTCCACAGAGAGAGTATCATTCAGCTGTTCAAAACTGTGCAGCTGTTCTCCATTAACTGAAATGCAAAGGTATGAGGAGAGTTGGTTATAGATGAGTGTGTCCAGCCTGATCCCATTAGTCAGTGCTCCTCCAAGATGGTCCTCAGACCTAGGGCATCAGTGTCCCCGGGGGCTGTAGAGATGCAGATGCCCAGCCCCAACTCAGTTCTACTAGATACTCAGGGAGAATCATAGAGAATCACGGGAAACAGAGCCCAATAATCTGTCCAAGCTGTCCAAGTGATGATTAAGGATGCGGTTTGAGAGGCACTGCCTTAGGGCACAGGAATATACCTTTTTCTGTATGTGTGTAAGTACATAAAGGGAGATCTGAAGGATGACCATCGGTGGGAGCTGGGATGAACCATTTCCCCCAGCTTCTCTACATTATTGGAATGGTTTACAATAAGCGTGTATAATTTTTTTAAACAACTTTTAAAAATGAGATATGTTATAAAATTCAAACAACTTGGTGCCTTTTTGTATATCCCAAGGTGGTCTAACCATCACCACTATCTGATTCCACCATATTTTATGACCCCAAAAAGAAAACTAGTAGCCATTAGCAGCCACCCCCCCCATTCCCTCCTCCCCACCAGGCCTAAATAACCCTTCAATCTACTTCCTGTCTCTGTAGATCTACCTTTTCTGGCATTCACATGTATAATTTTATAACCTAAAAAAAATAACAAAGCCATTTTTATTTAGAAAAGCAAAGCAAAATGAAAGCAAAGGGAGAAAATTTAATGACAGGACATTTTGGTGGAAATAAAAATGCAAATCATTCCAAAGCAGGATTTAGGTGATGTATATTTATTTCCTTTTTAGCTTTGATTGCTGATCCAAGAAGGAAGCGGATTTGGGCCATAACCATCACCATGATAGGTGTAGTTGTCTTTGATTTTGCTGCTGACTTCATTGATGGGCCCATTAAAGCCTACTTATTTGATGTCTGCTCCCAGGAGGATAAGGAGAGGGGCCTCCACTACCATGCCCTCTTCACAGGTAGGGAATATTCCAGAAAGTCTCTCCTTAAGCTCCCCAGACAGGGAGGCACTTCCATGGAAGCCATTTCATGTCTCTACACGTCAGTTTTTGAATGAATGGATCTGTTGATGGAATGTTCCCATCACGCGGGCTATGTCTTTCAGTATGTTTCTCTGAACAAATCAGCTTGTGACTGGGCTCTGAAGGTTTTGCAAAGGAAGTTTACAGAAGAGCTTTCTGAAGAACCATTTGTGGAGACATTTTCAACTGCAATGAAAAGGGGCCCTTGTGCACTTTACTTTTTCTTTTTCTTTCTTTTTTTTTTTTTTTTTTAAATCAGTAATGTAGCAGCAGCATTACTTGGGGGCTTGTTAAAAATGCAGCTTCCTGGCCTCTCCTCCAGTTATTTTGATTCAGTGGGTTTGAGATGGGGCTCAGAAGTCTGAATTTTAAATGACTATCCTGGATGATTCTGTGGCAAGTGTGCTAAGAACCACAATTTAAAAATAAAAATAGAAACAAACCAAGCAAATTTTAAAAAAAGAAGAAGAAGAAAAAGAAACCCACATGTTCTAGAGATTTCTTAGTTATATAAAGAGTTGGCATTTCCTCAACCTCCTGGCCATGCCAGAAGGACAGTGAGGGGCTCTCTTTAGTTCTTGTCAGCCTCCTTGGGTTGCTGTTGGGTCATTCATTTAGAACAAGGCTAGCAATGTTCAATATGCATTTATAGAGCACCAGTCGGGACTATGCTAGGACCCAGCATGATCCTGGCCTGGGAGGGTTTTCATATCCAGTTGAGGGAGGTACTCTATCAGTCCATCCTATTTGATGTTTTTATGGCCCAGCCAATATATTTATTTTATGTTTTGATATGTTCTGTCTCCATTAATGGCCAGGTAGGTCCCATGAGAAGCAGGATCTTGAGTTTGGCTCAGTTTATGTTTCCACAGCCAAGAGCAGTGCCTGTACATGGCAGCCGTTGGGTCAATACTGGTCGTTTCCACCAACACTGGAATGGTGACCTTTGGAAGAAGGGGGCTGCCCAGCCAAGACAGTGGTTCTTCCTTGCTTTAGGGAAGATGGAGGAGCAGGAGTCCAGCCCATCTGTCTGTGGCCCCTAACCAGCCTGTCTGCAGCTAAGGGTCTCAGAATAGAGATCTGAGCTGCATTCTTCTGACTTAAATCCCATGCTCCTTCATCATCCCATCGACATCAGATTTTTTGGCTTTTGGACCTGACACATTGAGAGTTTTTTTGCTCTAAAGTACTTTGGGCAATGTGGCCACCTTTTCCCCAGCTCATGTCAGTGTTAGTCCTGGCCAGTCTCTCCTTTTTTGCCCCAGTATTAAAAGATTGAATACTGTATTTGGGGAACTTTTCAAAGACTAACACATAGTAATATTTCAATGAGTCTGAGAAAATATCTTAAGGTTTTCTGTTGATATTAGTGTATGGTGGTCTCAGCAAACATGGCATAATTTTCACATTACCTTGGTTCAGACTTTCACTACATCTTGTCTGAGCTTTAGTACTTTTCCCTTAACTGTCTCTCCAGTCTCTAATCTCTTCCTATTTCGTTGGAATCAATACACAGCTTTCAGATTCATATTCCTTAAAGACAACTACGACCAGGCCACTCTCCCATTCAGTCACCTTCAGTGGCTCCCCATTTGCCTACTGGATAAAGAACAAATTCCTAGATAGAGTTCAAGACTCTCCCTAATGTTCCCATCCTACTCTTCAAGCTTTACTTCCCATCACTCCCTCCACATTTTCTGTGCTCTGAACAATTTCCAGCATATTCCTTGGGGCAGAGGCAGAGATCTGTTTTACTCACTGCATCCCTTACCCCTTCAGCGCAGCCCAGCCTGGCATATCATATGTGCTCAAAATAAATACTAATGAAAAAAAACAAAAGAGCCTGCCCTTTTCTGTTTGAACTTCAAAATTCCCTTCCCCCTTTCTCCCTTTGGAAATCAAAGTTGCTTGCAAAATTTCCACCCACTTTCTGGGGAGAAGACCCCCTTTCTTCTAAATTGCAGGCAAAAAATTTGGTCAGGGACTCTACCCATTCAGTGATCAAAGCAGAAGTTTATCAAGTAGATGAACACAGAGGTATGGACAAGGTGGATAAGTCCAGCAGGAAAAGATGGCGGAGGCTACAGTTCCTCTCACACATACTCTAAATTTCACTGCCCTTGGCCCTGTGACATCTGCTCAGGCTGCCAAAACAGAACACCACAGATGAGGTGCTTACACAATAGAAATTACGTTCTCACGCCTTTGAAGGCTGGAAATGCAAGATCAAGGTGACTGCAGGCTTGGTTTCTGGTGAGACCGCCCTTCCTGGTCTTTACCGGGCCATCTCTGACCTCACATGGACGTTCCTCAGTACACACGTTCCTGGGTGACTCTTCCTCCACTTATAAAGATGCCAGTGCTGGGGCGCCTGGGTGGCTCAGTTGATTAAGCATCTGCCTTTGGCTCAGGTCATGATCCTGGGGTCCTGGGATTGAGCCCTGTGTCAGGCTGCCTACTCCGTGGGGAGTCCACTTCTCCCTCTCCCTCTGCCCCCACTTGTGTGCTCTTTTTCTCTCTCAAATAAATAAATAAAATCTTAAAACAAACAAACAAACAAACAATTCCATAGTCCTATGGGTTATGGCCCCAACCTTATGATCTCATTTAACCTCAATTACCTCCTAAAAGGCTTAACCTCCAAATGTAATCACATTGGGGCTTCAACATGTCTCTCTCTCTCTCTCTCTCTTTTAAGATTTTATTCATTTATTGTCAGAGAACACAAGCAGGGGAGCAGCAGATAGAGAGAAAAGCAGGCTCCCTACTGAGCAAGGAGCCCGATGTGGGACTCCTGGGATCTGAGCCCAGGATGCTGGGACCATGACCTGAGCTGAAGGCAGTGCCTTAACCAATTGAGTCACCCAGGCACCCCTCAACATATGTCTCTTTTAAAGAAAGTGGGGCGCCTGGGTGGCTCAGTGGGTTAAGCCTCTGCCTTCGGCTCTTGTCATGGTCTCAGGGTCTTGGGATCGAACCCCACGTTGGGCTCTCTGCTCAGCAGGGAGCCTGCTTCCCCCTCTCTCTCTGCCTGCCTCTCTGCCTACTTGTGATCTCTGTCTGTCAAATAAATAAATTTTAAAAATCTAAAACAAACAAACAAAAAGAAAAAAGAAAGAAAGCAACTCCCACAGACTTCTGCTTGTTTCTCATTGGGCAGAATTAGGCCACATGAGCACCCAGGGGCCTGGGAGGTTGGAAAAGTGAGGCTTTGGGGGACGGTGGGAGAGGCAAATCCCTAAACCAAATTTTAGTTCTGTTAGCCAGGAGGAAGGGGTAATTATTATGGAATGGGTCAAAGCTGGCAGCTATCCCATAGACTACAAACACAATGGAGTGTTACCCTAAAGAGAACAATTAAAGGCCAAGACTTGCAAGAAAGAACTTTCAAAGCCCAGTCTATTAGTGAATAATTGAGAGGTAATTGTATTTTAAAATGATGCTCCAGTTCACAATATTACCTGATCAAATTTATTTTAGGATTGTTCACAACCTCCCGTATATTCTAATTCAGTGTGTATTTATCGTTCTCTTTTACAAGATTTTGTAAACTACATTATTTATAAAAACATGAGGGTTTACTTCTGCACAGCATCTAACCCATTGCCTTGTTGACAGCAGGTACTTAGAAATGTTAGTTGCATAAAAGGAGACTCTTGGTTTCATACCCCAGCTTATATTTCCTGCAGTTTTCCATCAAGTTGATGGCAAATTGGACCAATCAGGTACGCTCATTTAGTACCTTATTTTGTCTCTGACTAACACTGAACTTTGGATAGTTCAAAGCAAGTTTTTCTTTTTCTTTTTTTTTCTCCTATTAGAAAAAAATAAAACATCTTCCCCTTCTAAAACAGTACAGTGAATTCTCACCTTGTTTAAAGCTTAGATCCTAAACCTTATCACTTAGGCAGGATTATTGATAAGCATAGAGTCTATATTATTCATAAATATCTCTCAGATCACACATAAAATACAGTGTGCCTTGTTTTGTGGGCACAGACCTGCATGGTGATGGGTAGATATAAAAATATCTGCAGAAACATCTCCTCTTTAATGTTTACTGCTGAACATGGGCTCGATGAATGGGACAGAAGATAGGGTCACCTGTATTTTTAAAATGTTACTCTCTCTCTCTGTCCCCCCCTTCTGTTCAAAGTGTTAATAGTTGAACTCTATCCAGTTAAACATGTGTGACCCCTCCATAGTGTCCCTGCTCTGAATGGAAGACCACACTGAAAAATGGAGTGAAAAATAACCAACAATGCATTATCATACTGCTCTGTCTTTGCATATTATAGGCCAGACCTCAGTTCATTTGCATGAACTTGACAAAGAGACATCTATAGCATTCTGTGTAACTCAAGCATTTATGATAAAGGCACGTTCGGGGTCAGAACCTGTTGTAGTTTCGGAATGTAGATGTGTTTTGGTGGGGTGAGGTCCAGAGTTGACAACCAAGAAAGAATTCTCGAGACGTCTTTGATACAAAATGGTGGTTTTAGTCAAGCAGGAGGGGAGGACAGAACCCGTGGACAGAAAGAGCTGCTGTACCCGGGATGTGAGGGATGGTTGGTTATGTACTTGGGAGTTGGGGCTAGGGAAAAAGAGAGGTTTCCAAAAGAACTTTCATATGCTAAAGAGGACCCACAGGATACCTGAGGCCTTTGCCATCCTCAAGTTCAGGTCATTTTCCCCTCTAGTAAGGCATTAACATGAAAACGTTGGGAGGTTCCTGGAGGAATATCACACAAATCCCATGGTGTGGGTTAGGGTGGGAGGTGGGGGGAGGAGAGGGCTGTTCCAGGGTGTCAGCTTGTGCTTTGTCCTTCGCTAGCCTTCTGCGCCCTCATCAAGCCCGTTTTGATTTTCAGCATCAAGACATTGGTTACCCGAGGAATCCAGTCATCTGAGTAAATTGAAATTCTTCTTATTTATTT